TTTTTTTTTTTTTTTTTTTTTTTTTCCTTTTTGTCTCTTTTTTTGTGACCGGCAACTGATCGCAACCCTCAGTGTCGCGCCCTTACCAGACCGGGACCGGCAACGGGATCGCAACCCTCGGTGTTGCCCCCGCACCTCGCTCAGCCAGTGAGCGGCCGGCCTGTATGTGGGATCCAAACCCTTGGCGGGAGCGCTGCCACACTCCCAAGTGGCGCACTGTAGCAGTGCACCACCGGGCCGACCCTAAATGCAGTTTTCTTAAGGAGTCTTCCAGGCAAGCAAATGATACTCACTTGAGTGAATAAATTCTAATATCTGTATTATATGATATATGTATATTATTTTTAATTCAGTCCCATTTAAGCTAATGGACTGAATTTAAAAATTTTAAAGGCAGTCATCTTACATAATTTTTATCATATCAGAATATAGATGAGTGACTGTCATTTTGTCTTGCTCAGTGCATATCAAGTTAATATTTCTTTAGCAGCAATTTTAACAGATTTTGGTTGGCTTTGTCCAGGCTGTCACCAACTAGCTTTGTGACATTGGCATGGGACTCAACCTCTCTGTGTCTCTGACTCCCTGTCTACAAAATGAGGGCTTTGGCTAAATTATCTTTAAAATGTCTTTTAAATTAAAATCATCTACTATAATCATCATATGTCTATGTGTGAGACTACAATTATCATATAAATCTACACATTTCTCTGTGCAGTTTTAATTAAATCCAAGCTGAAGTAACCCAAATTCAAGGTATTTTAGAAGACACTGAAAACTAATTTCTCTAATAAAGCGTGTTCTACCTGATGATCATAAGATGATATTTGTGTAGCACGACACTGAAAACTAATTTCTCTAATAAAGCGTGTTCTACCTGATGATCATAAGATGATATTTGTGTAGCACGACACTGAAAACTAATTTCTCTAATAAAGCGTGTTCTACCTGATGATCATAAGATGATATTTGTGTAGCACGACACTGAAAACTAATTTCTCTAATAAAGCGTGTTCTACCTGATGATCATAAGATGATATTTGTGTAGCACGACACTGAAAACTAATTTCTCTAATAAAGCGTGTTCTACCTGATGATCATAAGATGATATTTGTGTAGCACTTGATGTTTATACTATCTTATGAGAGTCTCATAACCTAAGAGCTGCTATCATTACCATCATTTTGCAGAGGAAGATACTGAGGTTCAGAGAGGTTCAGTTACCCATCTGAAGTGATGGACTAGCAAGATCTAGAGCCAGGAAAAAAGACTCAGGTCTTCTGCTTCCAATTGAAGACTTTCTCTCCATCACTATTTATCTGTAACCAGTCTTTTGATTAGGAGAAAATTTTTCCAAGGTGCCATCATTCAGAATAGACTCAGGTCTTCTGCTTCCAATTGAAGACTTTCTCTCCATCACCATTTATCTGTAACCAGTCTTTTGATTAGGAGAAAATTTTTCCAAGGTGCCATCATTCAGAATTTGCATTCCTGGAAAATAAAAACTGCCATTAGAACCCTGCGGCACCTCTTTAGAGTATCCACTTGCGTCACTACAGCTCTCTCTGCTTTTACAATCTAGTTGTTTTGTCAGCATGAGTGTGACAACAATTAGACGTCCCCTGTTTTTGCCCCATGCCTTTTCTCCTTCACAGTCATTCAATGACAAGCGTAAAAAGAGCTTCATCTTTTCACGAAAATTCCCATTCTACAAGAACAAGGAGCAGAGTGAGCAGGAAACCAGTGATCCTGAACGTAAGTAGATTCTTGGAGATAATGTCACATGCAACACAAAAGAAACAAATTCCTCACGGATAACACGCATGATATAGGCTATCCCACGCCACATGCCTAGGTAAACAACACGGCAGGCAGGCAGGTCAGGTCTTACTACTGTGACCAGTGTTTGACTGCAGTCTGGATCCTTCCTTCACGTGGCTCTTCTTCACAGAAGTCATTGAAAGGGACTTGCTGAAGCTGGGACTTCGCTTCTGACCAACATTTATCTTTGATCAGGACTGGGTCTGGTTTGCCTTTTCTATTAGGCAACTCTCTAGGGCTTGAGACAAATTCTATTCTGGGCAGAAATATGGGATCTCATTGCCACGTGTATTTTTTGGAATGCTAGCTAATTGGGAGCAATTAAATTATCTATATTGATTTCTAGCACATTTGCTCACTCTTTCCCTCCCAACAAATGTTACTTACGTTCTGAGCCATGAGCTTGTATTAGTGGATACTAAATCTATGAATTTGTCATAAAATTGAGTAGATCATTTCTTCTACCTGAGATATTTATGTGGCAACATCAACAGTGGACAAAAGTGGCATTTACCAAATATTTCTTTCTTTCTTTTTTTACAATCTTCTGCTTAAACCTTTTAAGTTCCTTACAAATCAGAGTTTTCTTCTTGAGTCTCAGCCCAGGGATTTTGGGGTACAAGTCATTTCAAAGGAAGAGAGAGCAGGATCCAGATTGTTTAGGCAACACGGTCTGTCATGGTAGTACTCATTTCAACTCCACTGACTTCTTCCTTCCTCTTCCGTGGCTGTTCTTCCTCTCTCATTGCTCTCTCTGGGGACTTCCATGCAGGACATCCCCGGATTAGGTGACGACGGTTATGGAACAAAGACTCTGAGTAAGTTTCCAGGAATGGTCACTGTAACTTTTTTTCTTTTCCTTTCCTTTTGAGTTTGGCTTTTGTTCCTTTTCTTGAGGGCCTTTCACTCCTAGCATGCACAAGATACAAGTTTTATTTGTTACTTAGCTGTGAATGCTCCTACAAAATAATTTTCAGTCGTTTTGTTCTGCATGTCAGCATTGAAAAGCAAAGTGTGTCAGGCACTCTAACTTCTGCTGCAGTTAACATCCTCCCTTTCTGACCCTGTGGTATAATCAACATGGTCCTGATGCCCACCCCAGCATCACTTGCTCTGCCTCCTAATAACTCCCAGAGAGCAAGAAGCCATGTTGAAAGAAAGGATGAGCTAAATGTTCTAGAAGAGCAAAATAGAAATGTACTTTATATTCTTTCTTCTGCCTTTTCACATGGAAATATTTAATGGCCTTACCAAATTTCATAATCTTAGTACTTTGTTATTAGTAAAGGAGCTGTTTTATAGTCAAAAGAAACATGCGTTCTCAAAAAATAAATATTAAGCTATTTGATTTTCCATGAATAAATCTTTGTTATTAACTCTGGTTGATTTTTTTTTTTGACTTGCAGTGATCCTGCTTGAAACGTTTGTATGATAAAGTTTTAGATATGTATTAATTTGCTTTTCTATCAGTGATTTATTAGCTGCATTACATAATCAGGTTTTCATTTTGTAGTATAGAGTGAAAAATAAAGTATATAAAACCTTTACATTTACTAGTTATTCATGTCTTTAGTTTGTGTCTCATTGCACTAAACAATTAAAAATAATTATCCTATGTATCAATATACTATACTATGATTTGTCTCTAATACTAACTCCATTGTGTAGGTACCACTGAAGTGAGAACAGAGTACTGTGTCATTTGCAACTGTATCACATGTTCAATTTTTTTCTTCTGTTTTGTTTGTTTTAATTTAACAGCTATGGGCAATATTTATAGAAGCCGTTCATTTCATTCGTATAAAATAAAATAGCATTGAGTTGCACTTTGTTTTCAACAGCTATTTATATAACCCTGCACAATGTTACCCTTAATAATTGAAACTGTTAATTTGGACTTTTTTTTAGATATGTACATGTAGAAAGCAGAATCTAATCAAGAGTACTGAACTCCTTAAAGATGAAAACTTTATCTATATGGGATATGATATGAAATTTTTGTTGAATTAGTGGCTGAAGTTCAAATATTGATTTTGACATTATCTGAATAGCACCAAGCACCACCAGAAAAAGAATGTAAATTTTTAGTTTGGGGGGAATAAGCATTTTAATATATTGTTATGAAATGACCACCACTAAGAGCTATTGCTATTGGAGTGTCAAAAATACGAGTGATGCCCTTTTAAATCCAGAATGTGCAAATGTTATATTTACTTTTTAAAAATTGAACGGATTTAAACAGCAAAAATCAAAAACAAACAAACAAAACCCTGTCATTCCCAATTCAAAGTACTTTAAGATAATAATGTACATGAAGATACACTATTGTTGGGTATGTGCCTTGACTTTCTTTTCAGTAATAGAACACGGATTTGCAAAGACTCACCCACATTTCTTTCCCTAGTATCTCTTTGCACTTGTAAAGTGTGTCTCCAAATAAGTGATATAATTCTGGTATATATAATATAAAAAGAAATGATTCATGTAAATTTAACCCATTCTTTGGTTTTTATTAGTTTCATACTTTAAAAGTAATCCATCCAATTGGCAAGAATGTATAATATCAAATACAATTTAAAGCACTTTTTTACTGTTAGAGAAAAATGCTATATATTCTTTTCCTTTTGCTAAAAGTGTGCAACAGTTGTCACTTTTTCAAAAGCAAGTTATTGCTAATTAGCTTCAGGAATCAGTCACATATTTCTCACTTAAAGTGATATACAAAAAAGCTGATAAGCCAATGAGTTTATCTTCTATAACTTAACAAATAGTTCAGTTGAAAGAAAATGATTTTAGAAATAAAAGCTCTAATTCTGGCATACAACCACTATATCCCTGTTATGTTAGCTAAGCTGTGTTTGTGTGGTAATTTGGAATATTACTGTATAAGTAAGCCATTCAGCATGAATTAAAAACATACTTCATGCCAGCACTTATGCTGGGTATCAGGCCATTTATCTCCTGTCTGTTCTGTTCCTCCAGAATCCAATAGCTACCCAAGCGAGAATCTTAAAATGAAAACAAGGAAATATTGAGCTGATTCACAGAACATTGTTTAGTGACTCATTTCTTCCTCCAAGATTTTCTACTCACTCACTGAAGCAGGAAAGATCTTCAAGTATCCCCTTTCATCCTGTGAATTAAGGGATTCTAGGAATCAGTTGGTGATTTCAAATGCAGTGTTTCTATAAAATACTTTAAAATAGAGAAACAAAAATATCTGCAGGAAAACAGTGCCTTACACACCAGAAGCTCTTGAATTTATAGTCAAGAAAACATTCGGCTGAGACTCACTGGCCTTTGTAACAGGAATCTGGAAAATCAGAACTGTATGAATGGATCATAGTGTTTATAAAATGAAAATTATCTGGGTTGACGTTATACATTTTTTGTAATTAAACATACTTTCTTTGTTTGCTATAAAGAAGAAACAGCAATCAAGCAGCAGTTTCCTGTAAAATGGAGATAAAGTTTTCATCTTCTTTATCTTATCTGGTTCTCTTAATGCAGTCTCCTGTGCGGCCTTTTACTTGCTTTTGCTCACATTTCTGGTAGCCTTGCATGAGTGCATTTCTTTCAGTTCTGGCTGCTCTCCAATGCTTGGTATCTCTTTAATTTGCTGTGCTGTTCTTGCAGAACATGTTTCTTCTAATGCCAGCGATAGCGAAAGTAGCTACCGTAAGTTACTGCTTTGGTTTGCGATTCTTTTCTTTGCAATTGCCCCATTGCCTGTTGTGGTCATTTCAGATTTTTGTTGTTGTTTTTCAATTGCTGCCCTTTGTCATCCTTATCCAAAGCAAATGGCTTGAAATGAAATCATCATTTGATGGGGAAAGATACAAAAGACGTAAGGCCATCAGCAGAACCTTATGTGATTTGTGCAAGCAGCAGTAGTCTTGCTAATAAACAATTTCAGTCATGGTTGGTTGTGACCCAGTGATTCAATCCTCACACAGAAGGTCCAGGAAAAGTTCAACCGGGTGGATTTTGACAATTTACCCCCAAAATAATTTAAACTTCCTGCAGGAGGGTTGAAAAGTCATCAAGGTTTTATTTTCCTTCCCATTTTGCCTTTTCCTTTCTGTTTCTGGCTCTTCTTTACGAGAGAAGTTTTATAAATTACAGTGTTCCTTTTAAATCAGGTGTGAATCTTTTATATCACTTTCTCCTTGATTAATATTTCAAGGTAGACATTACAATACATATAATTTTATATATTTGATGGTTGGAGAAGTAATGAAAAAGTTTCATCCTCTGATGTTGAAAAAGGAACTCACTTTTTTTAAAAATGTGAATAAATCTTTTTGAATCAGAAAGCTTAACTGAAAAGGTAGGTAACTACTATATTTAAAAATTCTTTCTGATCTCTGGTCACCTCAAGCCATTTGCTTAGTGTATGAAAATATTCACCAAACACCAAGCACATCCTTTTGATGAGTACTTGTGGTTTCTTACCACCTACATACTGGTTTTTGGTGACTAACATAGATACATATTATCATGGGAATTCTTACAATTTCTACACTATTAATTTGAACTTCTTGGTGAAATGGGTTACCCAAAAAGCAATTGCCAAGAATATTAGAAAACTGCAGGCCCAATCCATATGACCCACAAAAACCAAGGCAGAAATTGGTATTGCCTTTGCTTAAATATAGTATTAATTGAAAACTAGAAGTGTTTGGGTATTTTTCTTCCCCGTTATAGCATAGTACTTTACAAAACCATGCCTTTTTGAGATGGAGTGCCAAATAGTATTCTTGGAGTATGGCAAATGTACTTTGGATTTTGGAAAGGTTTTGGAGAATCAAACTGGTGAAAACAGGAAAGAAGCACAAAAAAAAAAAAAAAAAAAAAAACGATGGGAGATGGAGGTACATGGTCCTTAACATTTGTATTCTTCCTATTATAATATTATAATTATCCCAACTTTGGAAAAATTATGCCTCCTCCTCTCTTTATTTGATGTTAAAACAAGAAACCAGGCCAAGAAGAAGTAAACAAAAAAAAAAGCTTATCTCCCTGACACCTGAGCTGCCCTCAGTTAGTATGAGGAAAAATATAATCAACTTTGGAAAAATTATGCCTCCTCCTCTCTTTATTTGATGTTAAAACAAGAAACCAGGCCAAGAAGAAGTAAACAAAAAAAAAGCTTATCTCCCTGACACCTGAGCTGCCCTCAGTTAGTATGAGGAAAAATATAACTCATCTGTTGGATTTTATAAAGACCAATGACACTAATTTCCTCAATGTTCAGTTTTTAATTTTCTGGTGTTGTGCTTCCATCTAGTAGATACAGATACAGAAAAGGGAAACATTATGCCTTGTGTTTTCAGTCCTTTTTATGGAAAGTGTATACAAGAACTACCTTTTCCTTTGGTACTTCTTTTATAGAGTATTTTATAGGCCCCTCTTAGAGGGGGAAAATTTTTCCCCAAAATCACTGAATTATAAAAATTGGTCCAAGGCTTTCAGCTGCTTCACAAGTTTTTGAAGTGATGCTCCAAGATGACATCAATAATTCTTTTCAGTCTCAAATAGTAGATACATATAAATGTTTATTGAGTGAATAAAGGAAACACTTGCAAGCATACTGAATTATCGATGAGAATAGAGGAGCTGGAACTGGATTCTATGATAGTAATAGGGCAAATGTGGAGTCTAATAATCTGTATTGGTTTGGGTCTTATCTAAGGTAACAGAAGGTCACTACTCAGATTGTTTTATTCACAAATGAACAAAAGTAAGAAGAGCTTTTGTCACAGCTCAGAGAAGAAAAATGGCATTTCTTTCTCCAGGATGGAAATATGAGGAATTCCAGAGAAATATTCATTTATTCATTTGGCATCTACTATATGCCAGGTCCTCTTCAGGGACGCCATGAGGCACTATATGAATAACCACTCACTCTGGATCTCAGCATACATAGAGGAGAGATCCATAAATGAAAAAGTAAACCAAGTGTGGCAGGTACTGGGATAGAAGCCTGGCTCAATACTAGTGGGGACGTCGGAGGTGGTTTCAGAAAGGAAGTAGCCTTTGAGCTGAGCTTTAGAAAAATGAGGCACTAGCCAGCTAGACAAGATGAAGAAGAAACTTTCTGGAAAGGCCAGTGATGCAACAAAAGGCACAGAGGCTTGGGACAGACATGTTTTCCAGAAAATGCCAACTTTGGAATCAAAATAAGCTGCATTTTTCTAGGGAATTCCTGGCATTTGCTGAAATTTTGACTAACTTTCTGTCTTATAAATAACAGTATAAACAAATTCAAAAAAGATCCTTTTTTCACTGATGTCCAGGTGTTATATTTTACTTTTAGAACTATTCCTATCCATTCTGGGGGCAAAATGGCTTTTAAAAATGTCAGTTGTGAGAAATAAGGTTCAAGCCACTGTGTTTCATAATCCAGTGGGCAGCATTCACTTTGCATCCTGGAGATGCCCATTGTGGCAACCTTACTCAAAAGTCCCATATGTTTTCTGAAATACACACATACAAGCACGAAACCTCAATTTCTAATTAATAGCTCAGACCTTTGCTGCACTATCTCAAGCATTATAGAATCATTATTTTTCCAAGTCTAACTATATGGAGTACCAGATAAAATGCAGTTAATTACAGTGCACATTGTCTAATTATGCAAAATGCTACCTCAAAACTATCTTAATTATGGGCTAATTCCAGATTTTTCTTTGCCAATAAAGTAGTAAAGTGTAGGCTCGTACTTTTGGTTGTTCTATATCATACCTTTCAATTGCCCTTGTATTGGGAGGCAATAAATACCAAGCAGGTATAAGGGGAACTACACAAATCTCTACAGCTGAAGACCTGCCGTCCTCAAAGCTCAGTAAAGCTCTTTACATTGTCATGGATGTGTGGGAGCTGATGATCATCCTTCTAATCCATTGGTGCTAAATCAGTTAAGTAGGATTTTCAAAAGAAGATCTTGATGAAATGATCTAAGTGAAATTGAGATGTTCAGATGAGGAGACCCAAGACTTCTCCACTGAAGTCGATTTTCTCAATATTGCCCTTAGATGTCTCTAGTTCTCCAGTCTTTATAAAGCAGTTTTTTATTACCTTTATTATGTCATTTCACTTCTGCAACAAAACTATCAGATATATCTTATTTTAACAGCCCACTTTACATATGTGGAATCTGAAGCTCCAAGAGACTCCATACCTTACTATTAAGTGGTCGCACTGCAAGTCTATGCAAGACCTTTTAATTCTGAACACCGCATATTTTGCACTCTTCTAGTTTGTAATCTAAGTCTCTTGATGTTTTATCTAGTACATTTCAACCATTCCATACCATCTATCAAATTAATACAAACAGCAACATTTATATTACATTGCTAGGTACTAAACTTGATTTTAAGGCCTATAGTTACATTAACTAATTTAATCTTCTGAACATTATATGAAGACATTGAGCCACTAATATACTAGCGATCTTGAAGAAATTACTCAAAGTCTTTGAACCTCAGTTCTCTCCTGCGTAAAGTGAGTAGCTCAGATTAGAACAAAGATAGCAAATAAATTTTAATCAAGATTCCAACTCTGACCAATTGGTAATAACTGCCTAAAGAGTTGTATTGAGAAGTATTCTGAGTCCACGTTGAGGCTCAGCAGTAATGTTGGCAATGATCAGTTTGTGATGTCTGTCAAGGACACGAACTAGGGGAGTAACAACATGGGCTATGTACTTGCCATGTGTGAATCACAAGAACTGCAACCCTTTAGTAGCACTAACATTCTATGGCTCTAAGAACCTAATTTATTCTTAATCATCATCATTTCCAGGCACCAAAAACTAAAGTTAGAACATTAAATGCACTGCTGTTGGTCTTTACTTCCCTCCTCTCTCTTTTCTAGTTTCCAAGAATTCCTAAAGAACAGCACCTTGCTTTTCTCTATCCTGAAGGCATATTAGGGTCTCCCATAGTGACTTGCTTCCAGCTTAAACACCAATCCTCTGCCAAGTCTCTGACAGCTGCTGATGTGCACACACAGCTCTGTGCTGCTCTCCCACTTTCAGCCATGTGGTTGCCAAAACAAGACTAAGAAATAGTTGGTACCTTTTGTCAGCTGTTATTATAAAGTGCCAACCCCTCTTGAACAAAAAATAGAAAAACTACTGAAGATGACTGCTTTATGCAGATGACACAGCAGCATTTAAAAAAAAAAAAAAAGCTAGTGTTTACAGATGGAACACCTTATGGCCTCAGTGACTGACCTGGTTTCAGCTTCTGTCTCTGCCCCTATCCTTTGTTCATTTGTAAGTGCTACCTCTACCCCCAGCCCCACAGAGAATTCTACTTCCCTCGCCCTTTAAAAATGTGTGATATACCTGACAAAGAATCAAAGAGAGGTATGGTTTTAAATCTTGACTCCACTGCTAACTAGCAAAGGAAACGGACAGGCCTCACTCATTAATATCTCTGAGCCTCAGCTTCCTCATCTGCAAAATGGGCATTATCAGAGAACCTACCTCAAGAAATGGCTGTGAAAAATAGAAGCCCACAGATATGAAAGCCCCTCAAGGCCTGCAAAGTGCCATACAGCCATGGTTTTTTTCCCTTCATTGCTGTGACTTTTTTTTTCATTCCCCTCTTTGTCTCCTTCCCATTACCCCTAGGGCTCCTCATTCTTGAACCTGAACGTGAAAATTGGTTTAAGGTGCTGAATTCACAGCTATTATATAATGGCAACCTCCATAGCTTCCCTGCAGTCCTGCTGGGTATCATACACTACCTGATTGTCACAGGGCCTCGAGGATTGGGATAGGCCTTGACATAAGAGATAACTGCCATTGCTGTTTGCCAATACTACTGCTCTGAACCAGAACCAGCACTTTTTATAACTAGAGAAGTCAACCAAAAAGTAATGGACAAACAAGGAACTATAGAACTCTCTAACAAAATTAAGTAAAGCTATGCTTTGCCCTGGTTTTCTGAGTCACAAATTTTACATACTGACATCACACCTCTTATGTAAGGTTTGCCTTTAGACTGCCCCATGAGAATGATTTGCAAGATCACTGGAAAGAGATTTTTATGGAAGCATGATGTGTTGTATTTATTTAGAGTAAACCACACTTCCCAAAGTGAAATGACCATATTGACAGAAACACAAAATAGAACCTACCTTTGGCCTCATTGCTCATCCTGTTTCTCATGACTGAAATCAGAATATTAGTTCAATGAAATTCAGTCCTTGCTTTTATGGAGCTCCTAGTCTAAGGGGAAGGTGCAAGTATCACGTGACACTTAAAACTTTCATTATCCCGTGGTCAGTACTCTCCTGTCACATGTTAATCATTTCATAAACATTTCCCTATAAATTTGAAGTCTAACATTGCAATGTTAGCCTGTCATGCCTCTATCCCTAAAACTATACTTTTTCCCCAAGAATTTTTACACTTCTCTTTTGAATGCCTAGGACCTCTACATATCTCAGGCTTTAAATAACTGGGTTTAGCAATCAATCACCTTGATTTTTTTTTTTTTTTGTCCTGGACTCTGTAAATTTCAGAACTTTAATTTATTCAAAGGGAATCATTCTTTTCCAGAGTACAAAAAATTGTGAATCTGACTCCTCACACACCAAACTCCTGCCCAGATGTGGGAAAGTCTCCCGAACACTTCTGGGGCAGCCCTGGGTAGATGCTGCATAGAAGGAGCATCAAAACCCATTCTCTGTGCCTGTAGGAAGTAGCTTGGCATAGCAGTGCAAATTCCGAGAGTGAGCCCTCCTCGAGGGTGAAATAAGATATGACTTACACCAAGGCCATTTCTCACACTTAAAAAAGTAAAACACCCACCTCCATCCCCCAGCTACCCAGGCTCCAGAGAAGACATCTGTACTTCACAGCTTCACCCACATATTGCTTAACTTCCTCAAATCAGTTCTCATTATCAAAACCGTCTATAACATTAACTTATTTTATAAAATTAGCTCACCTTTTCCTGGCACTGTGGCCATTGAAGGAACAGTACCTTGCATTGACACACTGAATGTGTTTCAGGGGTGGGGAGGATAGAAAGCAATGAGGTTAATTGCCCTTCAGTTTTAGGAAAAACTCATCATATTCCATTCCTCCTCCACGTCTTCCAGCAGACAGGAAGTTCTTTTCTACAGCCCTAACCTGTTTCCCCACCAAAGGTTAGGCAGTAGTAGGCCTAATGCCAATATAAGTGCAGACCTTCTGGGTTTGCAGCTGAATTGGGCTCAATCCCATAACCAATTATCAGTTGGACTGAACAGATGATTGACGAAATAATTGCCAAAAACCAATTTACTTTCCATGGTTATTTGTTGACCTGAAGCCCACCCTAAATCAGAAGGCTTATAACAAATGACTTTGGAGAGACTGACACTTTTACTACATTGTCCTCCTTAGTTCTCTCTCTGGAGTTTCAAGGCGTGATTTAGCAGCAATTATAACCAGTGATCTTCTTGTATTGACCCTCAGCATTTTCCTGATGAATTAATATTAGAGTAAAATTCTTGCATAATATATAGAAATGAAGTTTTAATATCATAAACGAAACAAGCAGACATTTGCTTTTGAACAATGTGCTTCTTTGAGAAATAAAATAGGAGATGAAATTAAAACTACAGAAATTCTGATTATGTAGCAGCAAGCTATTGGATTGACCGTTGCCGTGAACTAGGTAGTAGAGGCCCTGGCGCTCCATTTCTCAACGTCAGGCAGAAAGCAGTCTCACAGGTCACTGCCCCACCGTAGATAGCTAGCAGCCGGTTATTACTTACAGTTATGACTATGTGATAACCTAACACTAAAATAGCACTAAATTTTTATGAGAATGAAAGGATTTTTGAATACTTCAAGGAGACAGAGCAAGGAAAATTAATCCTGAACTGTGTCTGTTCCCTGTGTTTCAGAGCAGGGTGGGTCTGTAGCTGTAGTGTATGACTGGTTGTTAGTTCACTGTAATTTTCCTTTCTTCTCTTCTCAGGAGGACAAGAAGACCTCATTCTTTCCTATGAGCCTGTCACAAGACAGGAAAGTAAGTTTCCCAGCATGCTGTGGTTCCTGATTTCTAGGCCATAGTAGGTGACACCATTGAAGGATGGAAAGAATGGAGGACTAAGGAAAATAAACTCTGCTTAATACTTAGTTGTGCCCAGACCGTACTCTGCTCTCTCTCTCTCTCTCTCTCTCTCCTCTCTCCTCTCTCTCACCTTTTCACAAAACAGACAACTTCCCTGCTGGGCATTGGCAGTAACAGCTCCCAAGGGGATAGAGCAGGCCTCCAGATGAGTGGTCTTCAGTGGGAAGGAACACTAAAGATCCCTAGCCACAGAATTAAAATCTCCTGGGAGACTGATGTCAGCTCACTATTGAGAAGGACGCTGCAGTAGACCCGTCTAAGATACAGGCCATCTGTGGGCTACTTTAGGAGCCTGAGTTTTTCCTGGAGGCATTTATATAGAGGCTAGTGCCTACTGACAAGGAAATTGTAGAGAAAATTCAAGCATCAGATGGGAAGTTGTACCAAATGAACTTTAGGGTTCCTCCTAATCCCAGATACAAAGGAATCAAGAAAAACCTAGCAGAGTATAGAGAGTATTTTGAGCTGAGGAAAGGAAATTATAAAAACATAAGGTGTCATTACTACTAACAATTACTTTCTAAAGTCATTGTCTAAACAATGGCCAAACAGCTGGTTTAGATTCTTTTTTTCTCCCACTCAATTGACTAAATTCAGCTGTTTTGACATTGTGTAGGCATAACCTGAGAATAAGCAAAACTCCTTTAAACGGTTCTTTTCTATGACAGACACTGCAGTTGCTTTTCACTGTTAGTAAATTTCAGAAAGTAGGCACAGCCAACATCCTGAGTGTTAAATATCGATTTCCCTCTGCAGGGCTGTATAGGTAATTTATCCAATAAAGCATTGCCGTTAGTAGTTCTTACTGACAATTTCACCTTAAGAATCACCTTTGCAGTCATTTCCAAGTCTTTCTCCTCATCTGCATCTTCCTTTCTCTCTCTGCAGTAAATTATACCCGGCCAGTGATTATCCTGGGCCCCATGAAGGATCGGATCAATGACGACTTGATATCTGAATTCCCTGATAAATTTGGCTCCTGCGTGCCTCGTAAGTGTCATTTTTCTTTTCTGTAGGAAAAAAGCATGTATCCTTATAAGATGCTAAAAGGTAATTCTGTTCCTCCAGTAGACTTGCTGGTGATTCACATACGATCGTTTACCTATAACACAAGTGCTTAATTTAATTTCTCTGCCTAATACTTTTCATCTATGCTGCCATGTTTTGTTCTTTATTTAGTAAGTATAATAATGTTCTCTCCAAACTGACTGTACTTCCCTAGAAGGCAGAATGGATCTTTGTAACCTCCTTAGCATTTAAACCAGCATGGGATTTATGATAGGCATCAGATCAGTATGTTCTTATAGACTGACTGAAATGCCACTGAAACGTCTTTTTCCACAGAATGGGAGAGATCAAAAGCAAAACCATGTATTAAAACCAGCTCAGGATCACTTAAGGCCATGTGTCAATCCCAAAATCAAATAGCCTTTCCCATGTGTTTTGATGGTCTCAGGTCTTGGGAGGATGAATACAAGAAAGTGTATAAGACTTTAATCTGCTCTCTAGGCCACTACAGATTTTAATCTGCTTTCTTTGTCATTCGAGACAATCATCAGGTATCCTGGTCCCTCTGAGTGTAGCCCTGTAAGATTCTGTCTGGTCTAACTCTCCGCTCCCTGCCATCACCATACTTTCTCTACTCATGTACCGCATCGCCACCCCCACTATGTCACATAGAAATACGTGGAGACCATCTATGTATGTAGACAAGCACACTAGAAAATTTTAATTTATTAGGTTTGGAGCTCTTAAATCTGATCCTAACAAACATTTTTCTCTCATTCTACATTTTTTAAGCTTTATGCTTTCAAGTGTCTCTAGCATTTTGGTACTGCAGTTGTCACCTGGAATACTTAAGAACAGCAGCAAGTGTATGTGTGCAGTACATGGGCAAAAGAGGACTAGGGCAATTGCTGTATCTCATGAAACAGTTCCCGGCAAGAGCTCTGGGAAGAGATCCGGAGAAAATCTTTGGATAGGAAGGTGCGAATGCACCCATAGGGTGTTTACAGCAGCTGCCAGTTTATCTTCCACTTTTGAGAGAAAGAAGCACAACATCCTTAAGCACCATTTTCACTTTCCCTTCCGTCTTGCAAGCTCTTCTCTTTCTCTTTTTTTCATTTATAGCACTATTTTATGATAATTAATAAGTGTTCATTGTACAAAACTTGGAAAATGCTAAAAAGAAAGTTAAACAAAATAATTAAAAGTACACAGAATCCCACGCTATACCCAGATGTAACATCACTGTTTTTTTTGTTTTTTGTGGGGTTTTTTTGTCGTTTTATTGACCGGTAAGGGGATCACAACCCTTGGTGTGGTGTCACCCGCACCGCGCTCAGCCAGTGAGCCCACCGGCCAGTCCTATATAGGATCCGAATCCACGGTGGGAGCGTCTCTGCGCTCCCAGCGCCGCACTCTCCCGAGTGCGCCATGGGGCTGGCCCGTAACATCACTGTTAATATTTTGGTAGATTTTCATCTACTCTTTCTTTCTGTGCATGCATTTTTCCATGAGATTGAGCACTTCTTTTTGCTTAACATTATTTAAAATCTTATATAAATATTTTAAATGATCATATATCATTCTTCATTTGTAGACATTTTGGTTTTCCCCCATTTTTCATGATTATGAATTATAACTAAAATATAATTGTATAATGTTATACTTATTATTTATAAATTAATATAGTGAACATCTTTAAGATTGAAACTGTATCTGAATTTTGATTGCTTAGATTCCTAGATGGATTCCTAGAAAGAGAAAAACTGAATCAAAAATTGAAAATATTTTAACATTTTCTATTCATATTGCTAGATTGCTTTCCCCTTCTCTTATTACCAGAAAATTTGCGTGAAATGGTTAAAGTTGCTGACTTCTAGTCCCACCTTAACTGTGATTGCCTTATTTTACATGTTTTTCAATTCCTGAATATATTTATAACTGTATGTCCATTTTTTTTCTCCTGGTTATGATGCATTTTCCTGCTCCCTTGCTCATCTCAATCTTTGATTGTATGCTAAGCTTCATAATGCTATATTGTTGAGAGTACGGATATTGTTCTCTTCCTTTAAAGAATATTAAGTTTTTGTTATGGGAGGCAATAATTCACTGACAGATCAGCTCGTTCAGTTGCAACCTGGTTTTAGATTTTGTGAAAAGAAAGTCTAGAGTAGCCTTCTCAAATGTGGACTTTCTGGGGTCTCAGCCAAACGCCCAGTTCTGGCTGAAACCTGGTGTCTCCTGGCACTGTGCAACCACCAGCCTCTTCACTTAAAAATAGCCTATAGGCAGAGAGGTGGGGTGAACGTAGAATTCCCCCTCATGTGTTTCTCTTTTCTCAAGGATTACAGTGCATCACTACCTGTCAACTGATGCCTGAAAACAATAGTTCCATATATTTTGTCCAGTTCTGTGGTTGTTTATGGTGGGAGGGTAAGACTTATACCTGTTAACTGTGTCATGGTCCTTCATATCACATATTTCCATGTATTTATGTTGAGAATGGGATGGGGAAAATAGGTATAAAGGAAGATTATGAGTGTAAATGCACCTTAATTTCATCATTTCTTGTTTTATAAAGATACTACGAGGCCAAAGCGTGACTACGAGGTGGATGGCAGAGACTACCACTTTGTCATTTCCAGAGAACAAATGGAAAAAGATATCCAAGAGCACAAGTTTATAGAAGCTGGCCAGTACAATGACAATTTATACGGAACCAGCGTGCAGTCTGTGAGATTTGTAGCAGAAAGGGTATGTTCACCAGTCTTCTTACACCTCCCTGAAGAAGGTTTCTAGGTGCAAACTGCATTTTTGGGGTCATTACTCTTTCCTGATTGCAATTGTAAATTTTGATTAAATATTCCTTTTAAGACATTCAAGCAGAGAGTCACCTTACAGCAATGTCATTAATCTTTGTTCTAATCTGAATAAAGTATTCTGACTGACTTGGGGGAGGGGTCTATAAACCTAAAGGCAATTAACAGCTTGAAGTTTATGGAGATTCACTATCTGAAGCTCCAGTAATCAACACTGAATTTATTAAGGAAGCTTTGTTACTCTTGGTTGTCTAGATAAGGATCCTCAATTCTTTTGTTAGAGTTACTTTTTTTAATCTCTCTGGAAACTTGACATCCTCATGGTGGAGGGGGAGGTGGAAGAGGACTGCCCAGCCTGTTGCTGGCAGAAGTTCCCACTTAGAGGAGGTGTAGACGCTGCAGTTCCCTTCTTGCCGATAATTTCAGGGGCATGGAAAAGTGGAGAATGTTCAAGACGGGACAGATGGGAAGGCACCTGAGTATGGCTTTAAGATCTGCCTATAGAGAAATTCTATTTCCTGTGGACACAGAGGACTGATTTCATAGGAGAAAATATTTGTTGGGTTGATTTGATTCGACATGACCTTTTTCCTCCTTTTGATGTACTGATAAAAAATTTTAAAGAGAAATGTTAATGTCTATCTGAGAATACACTAAGAAGTTTCGTCTATTTTTTCTCTCAAAAGTTAGGCTCTGAGTTAGGACACTCAGAGTGCTCTGCAGAATTGTATCTATTTTCTTCTTTGAACATGGAGATACAACTTTCGTTAACTGACATGTTCTGACTACTGAATATTCAAACAGCATTTATGCATTTTATATAACTGCTGCACTTCACAGACAGCAAATTTGGAAGTTATTACTTCAGTGATAAAGGCTTGAACCATCTCAGTGTGTTTCTCACATAAGAGTTCAAGCATTCTCTGGACTCTGTGCATTTTCATGTGGATATTATAGATGAGTTTTCATCCCTTATTATTGATTTAGGACTGTTCCTATCTGCATAAAATGCTATTTTCTCTTCTCGCGTAAAGTTCTTTTAGCCTCAGAATAATGAGGCCATTTCTCTCCAGGAGATGGAATATGATGTGGCAAATGTATTGACTTTTTCAGAAATATTTTATAAAGCAGCTCCTTGCTTTAAGGACTTACTGCAGTGGAAGCCAAGTTAAATGAGGTGTGCTATAATGTAATAGGGCTTTTTTTGTTGTTAACAAACAAGAAATTTACAAGCTTCGTGCAAGACTGTCTCAGCATTTAACCATATAACATTTAAGTTAACTCTTTTTGTGTCTGCCATCTAGACTGAGCACTTATAGGGCAGAATACATATAAACACCAAGCATGTGTTTATGGAATTGTCCTAAATTCGTATGATTACGATTTTTCCAAGTTTGATGTCAGGCAGGGTGAGACAACGAGATGTCTATTTATTCCAACTAACAATCCTGTCAGTGCCCAAGACCTGGGTTTGAGTGCTACCAGCACTGAATTTTGGGGCAAGTTAGTTAATATGTATAAGCCTTGGTCTTCTGTAAAATGCAGTTAATAATACCTACTTCATAGATTTGGGAATTTCTTCTCAACAATTGTCTTCAGAGATGGTTATGAGCTTCATGAGAATGGACGCAGTCACATAACATATGGCTGCATGTGTTCTCTGAGCAGAGAATAAGGTATTTAAGAAAATAAAGTTAACTGAGAGAACACAAGTAAAATGTCTAGCCCGGTGAGAGACACTTAGTAAGGATCTAATAAATACTAGTTATTGCAAACATTCAGTTATGACCCTATATCTCAACTTTCATTTATTCTTTGCAGTGATCTTTTTTCAACCTTTAGAAATTTAACAACCCATTCTGTCCTCTAAAACACACATAACATTTTCTTTTGGTTGGATCATGGTCATTCTTTCTGGATTAACTCCATTATTTTCTTCTCTTTCCACCAGGGCAAACACTGTATACTTGATGTATCAGGAAATGCTATCAAGCGGTTACAAGTTGCCCAACTCTATCCCATTGCCATCTTCATTAAACCCAAGTCTCTGGAACCTCTGATGTAAGTAGAGGGCACTGCGGGCCTTCATCCAACTCCTTGTTCCATATTACACAGCAAATTGTTAACAGCTCAGCTCTTTGTCACAAACGTTCACAAATGGGAAATGCCATTGTTCATTTTTAAGCATTCCCTTTTTTTTAAAGATAAAGTTATTTTGAACCACAATAGAGATAATGTCAATAGTTCCTTAAAACATCTTCACTAATGTTTCTTGATTTATTTTTTTATTTCACAAATTGTTTATTTTGGTTTTGGTTTGTTGTTATTGTTTCGAGGGTATATTGGTTTCGTTTGGGTTTTTAGTTTTGTTTTACTTTCCAAATGATAGGAAGCAATCATTTTTTAATTGTTGCTCACTTCTAAGAGCAGTTCCATAGGTAAATCTTTCTAAACATGTGGGTTTTCTGTAGAGGGAGCAGACAGCATTTAAGACTTTTTCCATTGGCATTTCGCTTTGTTCTATAATAGGATTCTAATGTTCCTTAATTAAAACTTCACACATATAGACCACTGTTCTTAATAGGGAGTTTTCTTAGCAGCATGGCAGTAAAATATCTACAACTTAGACCAGTAGCTCCATATTAAGTGCACACTTTATGAACAAGGGGGCAATGCGTGACTCAGATTTTTTTCTCTCTTTTTCCTTTTCTAAGGAGCTTGTGAAATATTTTTCCTCAAAAATCAGTAAACAAGGCTGGCCCGTGGCTCACTCGGTAGAGTGCGGTGCTGATAACACCAAGGCCACAGGTTCGGATCCTATATAGGGATGGCCGGTTTGCTCACTAGCTGAGCGTGGTGCTGACAACACCAAGCCAAGGGTTGAGATCCCCTTACCGGTCATCTTTAAAAAAAAAAAAAAATCAGTAAACAAGGCTCGCCCGTGGCTCACTCAGTAGAGTGCGGGGCTGATAACACCAAGGCCACAGGTTCGGATCCTATATAGGGATGGCCGGTTTGCTCACTAGCTGAGCGTGGTGCTGACAACACCAAGCCAAGGGTTGAGATCCCCTTACCGGTCATCTTTAAAAAAAAAAAAAAATCAGTAAACAAATTGGACAGATATGTACAATTTCACTACAAAGTCAGTATAGGCAACTCCCGTACAAAGTAAAGCTACAGTAGATAAAGGTCGTGGAGCAAAGAGGCGATGAGCAGAGACTTGAAGATTGGTCCGGCTGGGTTTGGGTCTTTGCTGTTTCACTGATCAGTTCTGTGACCTTGGGTAAACCTTGGGTAACTTGTTCGACCTCCGGAAGATTTAGTTCCTCACCTCTAAACTAGTCACATTTATAATCCATCCCAATATCATTTGATCCCATTGCCCTGGCCCCTCCTTGTTTACCTTCACTTGAACCATGTCTCTGGCTGACAAAAAAGCTCAGCTGCACGAAAAAAGAAAGAAGTACTTCACAGAGCTAGAGTAAAGGTTAAACAACAAGCTTACGAATGTAAAGCTCTTCATGTAGTCTCTAGCACACAGTAAGTGCTCAATAAATAGTGGCTATTATTGTTATTATAAAAGATACAAAGTTACTCCATTATAAAGGAATGAAGCTATTTTATCATTCTACAACACATAAACAGCACCTTTTCCAAGAGAACTTAAGAGAAGATGCCACTGTCTGTTACAAGAGCCCTGCTCAAATACGGCCTCCATTTGGGCCTCAAGACTGTAGAGTATTTGGCAGGGAACCACAGCATACTGGAAAACAATGCTTACAGACAGGACAAGGAAAGAGAAATTGCTTCATCCCAGGGGTGAAAGCAGTTACTTGCAGAGGACATCAACTAACCATGTCTCTTCTGAGGATGAAGAAGCAAAGTGACTGCAGTAGCCCGAGTGGCAGCCTGAGAGAATCGAGTTAAATACATAGTCAGTCTCTGGGGAAACTGCCAGAGATGTATCTTAAAAGCAGAATATATTCTTGTAAATAAAAGATGGACACGCGTTCTTACCAGGATGAAAAATAAAATCAGGAGGTCACTGAAAATACCTTTAGCCCTGTGAATTTGGGTATTAAATTATGATGTGAAAAGCTTTTCCTATAGTTGGCACATGGAAAATAATTATCAATGATAAAATAATGGTTCTTAATATTATTAACCCCAGCAGCATGTGTTAAATTTCTCCTTATGTAGGATACTGTGTTGGGCATTGCACAAAGTAAATCAAGTGAATTAAGCAAGCACACATTTTATTACTCAAAAGTAATTTATAATCTATAAGAGCCTCATAAATATTATAAGGAATGCTTACACATTAAAAAGAAGAGTTAAAAAGTGGCCCTCACCTCCTGGGAACAGCATCAAACCTATTTCAGAAATAGGAAAATAGGTCTTCACATCATAAACACACGGTAGGCCAAATTGTTTCCCAGGAAGGCCTGAGGGAGCAGCGGTAGCGGTGCATTTGGTCCAGTGTGGTGTTGGGAGACAGTCCCATCTGGCACTTGGTAGGAGAAGGGCTCCTTCCCTCCATAGCTATGATATGACTTATTTAGTTTTGCCTTAGGGTGCTGTCACAGCCACTCATCACCAGAGAAAATTAAACACAGTGAAGGCTGGATTCCGCAGCGAGGATGATGAATCTGACATAATTTGCTGCAGCCATATTCGTGGGTCTCAAGTGCAGTGATGGTGACATTCAGACCAATGCAATCTTACTATTAAATGCTGGATGTTTACTTTACTGCTCACTCTTTTCCAAGGCTTTTACTTTAGGAGCAAAGCTGGCATGAATTGCCCATTCCCCAGGGAGGAGTGAATGCTAGGTCAGCTGGAACAAAAGCACGGCAACTGTCACATTTAGGCATTGATACATGATCACACATGTTATTTCTCAAGTGCATCATCCACATAAAGCACATACATAGCTGACTCTTCAGAGGAGCATAAAATCAAGGGTGTGTAGGAAAGAGATGTTCTTTTTTATATTGTGCTGCTACCTGACTTCCGTCCGCCCCACCCCCATCTCAATGAGAAGCTTTCCTGTGTCTACACCCTGCCACCTCCAATCTGCTTTTACCTTCTTGCTCCCATTATGCCCTGTGTTTCCCTCTGCCCTCAACTATGTCATAATTAATGCTCATTTGTCTAGCTCTCCATTCGTTCATTCACTCACTTCTTATTCAACAAATAAGTGTTGAATCAGGCTCCATGCCACATGCTGATAAACAAGCCATGGTCTTTGCCCTCAGAGAACTCACAGATTAGACAAGGAGACAAAATAAGTTCATATATTAGAGGCTAAAAACCTAAACTAAGTCATCAGTATGTAAGTGCAAAGGGAATTCAGAGAAGACAGACCACTACAGACCTGGCAATTCAAAGAAGATCCAGAACTACATGACTTCTTGACATCTGGAGCAAATCACCATCTTTCTCTGAAAAGTATTCCTTGGTGTAACCCAGCATCTTCTGTACCCAAGAGTGGCATTCACTTATACTTCTAGAGCTATGACTATTTGGGAAAAGAATTATAAATACCATCCCTCGGGACAAAATGAATTTATTTTAGCATTAAGAGTTCAAGAAATTCCCACTTTATATTTCAGCCTTCAGCATCATGTCCAAAGACCATGTTAATATCTAACCTCAGTTTTTTGATTTTTTTTTTAAATAAGTCTCTTTTGAAAGATATCAGGTCTAGGTATAATAGGAAGTCTGTTTGACCTAAAATTGGTTTTAAAAAAACAAAACCTTAAGTTCTCACCCTGGATAACTCTTATTAAAAGTACAATTCCTCCTTAGACAATTTCCTTCATTTGCTTTGAAAAAGGAATTGACTAAGACCAGGTGTTCCAGCCCCAGATCTCTGGCTTCCAAAGCTGCATTCAAGGCAGTAATGCTCTCCGAAATGAAATTCTACATGCACCTGTGATGTATTGGGGGGCAACCAAAATGTCTTTGCATTTGGCTGGACTTTTTTTTAACACCTGGTGAACATGGGAATATAAAGCTGCCACTCATTTGGAATCAGTAGATTGGTTTTAGAGAGAATTAGAGAATTTTCCATTTCTCTCCCACCTTGATTTGTTCTTGAGACTAGGTTGGGTTTAAATAATCTTACAATGATTAAGCAACTCGTATATACAGTTAAAGATACACCAATGGTTGACACATTAACAAAAAGAAAAGGACAGATAGTCTCAGGCATAATACCTTTACAGCCAATTCTCCTATCAGAACAAAGATAAACAAAGTAAGCATCAGAGAATCATTTATACCAAGCTCCTCTATCCTGTCTATTTGACTAAATTCCTTACTTATTGCCTATTGGAAAATTTTTGGTCCTGGCACTTTTGATTGTTCCATTGTGTGTACATTTCAATTTAATCCTCCATCAGTAGATCCTTGAGCTGGTTATAAAAACAGAGGATGTTCACGGCTTTTGTTGTTGTAGATGTGCCTTGCTATTTGCAGAAGTTGAGTAGCAGGAGACACGAAATGCCTTTTTGTCCTGAAAAATACCTAAAGAACCTGCCCCATTTTCTATAATGCTTTGGAAGTACTTTCTGTGTTTCTGCACTCCACATGTTTCCAGATGCACATTGAGGAGGATCAGCAGCCCTTAAGCAAATAAGGAAGTCAAGAAATCAAAGCTTTTCACAACATCAGGACCTAAGAACAGTCAAGTCTAGTTCTCTCAGATTTGAGGGGCCCTAATGAACCAAGACGTACGTCCCCTTCCCTCCATCTCTTCTCCTCCTTCTGACCACCCCTGGAAGATTTGCTTCAATTCTATGTCCCACATTAAAGAGAGGCCGAGATAGACTAGAACAAAGTCGAAGGAAGGGTGACCAGCAAAGTTCAGATTTAGAAACTGTATCCAATGAGGAAATAGGTGAAGGAAGGAGGACAGATCATTCTGAAGAATGAAGGCCTCGAGGGACACTTGAGCCTATTTAAATATCCTAAGATCTGTCATGGAGAAAGTTTAGCTCTACTCTAGAGGCATGCAGGGGACAACAGGGACCAATGATTCCAGATCATAAGGAAACACATTCTGCCTCTATCCAGTGTGGGACCAAGAAACTGCCCTCTGAGAGAGCAAGCTCCCTGGCAGGCAGTCCAAACTGCTGAAATTATTCCAACAAAGAGGAGTCCTGAATGCAGACTAGGAAGCTGCTGCCAAGATTGCACTATGCTTCCTGCAGTGTTTGTTTTTGCCATATATTTTTAATTCTTTAGTATGCAGTATATTCCCTTTGTGTTCTAATACCAAACCTTCATTTTCATTATCAGGGAGATGAATAAGCGTCTAACAGAGGAACAAGCCAAGAAAACCTATGATCGAGCAATTAAGCTAGAACAAGAATTTGGAGAATATTTTACAGGTAAGTTCACTTACCCTAGTACTATGAGGAAGGAGATAAGTTGTCTGACATTTGGCACAGAGAAGGCTCTGAGCCTGGTATACCTGGACCCTAAAACCTTCTGTTGAGAATCCCTAACACCTGTTTCATGCGCAGGGAGTCTCCCTCTGCTTCATGCATTTGGTTCAGAGCTCTGGCTTCTCTTCTATGGGTTTAGCTGCAGCCAGCTCCCAGATTCCCGTTGGCCCTATTCAAAACCAAGAGCCACAGATGCCCCTGCACTATCTCCAGCTATTAAGGAGATTTTGGGTATTGATACCTCATTAAACTATCTCTCTGATATCATCAGAAAACTCAAAAAAGAAACTTTTATGGCTGTAAACGGGCCATGTCCAAAACAGTTAGTCTTGAGATGCAGCCTTGGGGTTGCCATTCTCTGTTTTCATGACCTATAGGTCTATCTCCCCAACACCAGCACTTGAAAAACATGCTTGAAATGCCTCCCTGTGTTTCAGTTAATTCAAGTCTCAATGCAAAACTTTTTTTTCTTATTAAATATTTCCTTGGAATTATGAAGTTTGGGGACTGGAGGAAGATTTTTTTCTCTTGGGTATCCTGAGTTCTCTATTTGTATATGCTTTCGTGACCGATTAACTCCAGAGAGTAATCAAACTTTGTAGAATTGGCCTTACAAGAGATTCTCAAAGCTTGAAAAATGAGAATTTTCCTCCGGAACTACCTTATGTGAAATTAGATGTTTTATTTTTTATCTTACTGAGAATATGGAAAGTGCCAGTGGCTTGGCAGTTTGCAAATATTTTTAATTGGGTAATATTAAGTAAAGTTTCTTTCAGTATGAGTTATGGTTCATCCTAAAGGAACATCCAAGCAGCAAAATTAAATCAAAGCAATATACATTTTAACCAGTGGTTTATATTCAGTAATAAAACACAATAGTTACTATATTCTGAGTATTGTTTTTGAAGATCTGAGCCATGTTTCAGTAGCAATTTATTTATTTATTTATTTATTTATTTTAAGATGACCAGTAAGGGGATCTTAACCCTTGACTTGGTGTTGTCAGCACCATGCTCACCCATTGAGCTAACTGGCAATCCCTATATGGGATCCAAACCCGTGGCCTTGGTGTTATCAGCACTGCACTCTGCCGCGTAAGCCACAGGCCAGCCCCAGTAGCAATTTATTTTTAATTTATTTTTCCTGTTGTCATATGGATAGTACTGATGTGTTGTGGAGATCTATCTACAGATGACTTTCATTCAAAGTACAAAATAAAATGTACTCCAAATGACTTGGTGTTTTAGGTAATATACAATTCAGCTGTTTGTTTATATTTTCTTCTTTTTATGATTCTTATAAATAGTGGCCAAAAGGTGTCCTTGAAGTTGCCAGATCACTTAGAGAATGAATGGGGTTTTCTATTAAAGTTTTGGGGGGCTGGGGAGATTAACTAAAGTTTCAAACTCTTATTATTTCTTCTGTGTAAAATATCTGAATAACTGACCCTTGCCAAAGGCCAGATTTATTGCTAAACAAAGAACTCTCAATCTGAAAAGTGATAAAAGCCTAGCTCAATGCTTGGTTCAGAATAGGCACCTATAAAATTTCTGTTAAATAAATGAATGATTCATTGTCCAAATTGTTCTACATGAACCGACGTGTAGAAAGTGCAGAAACTGTGACGTACTTATTACTGATCTGAGACGTATTGAAAGTGTTTCTTTAAATCATTGATGTGACCTTCCTTATGTAAATTTTATTTTTCTTACTAATGAAAAGTAATATTAAGCTTCCTGCTGAGTTGTCTGTCACTGACATGAGCTTCTGCTGTGTAAGTAATGATTGTTCTTCACCACTCAGAGAATGATTCCTAACTCTGGGTGTGTTTGCTTTGGTTACAGCTATCGTCCAAGGAGACACCTTAGAAGATATATACAACCAATGCAAGCTTGTTATTGAAGAGCAATCTGGGCCTTTCATCTGGATTCCCTCAAAGGAAAAGTTATAAATTAGCTACTGCGCCTCTGACAACGACAGAAGAGCATTTAGAAGAACAAAACATATATAATATACTACTTGGAGGCTTTTATGTTTTTGTTGCATTTATGTTTTTGCAGTCAATGTGAATTTTTATGAATGTACAACACAAACTGTGTGAAGCCATGAAGGAAACAGAGGGGCCAAAGGGTGGGACAGAAAAGACACTGCAGTGTGCAGGAAGGCTTTGGTTTGCTCAAAGTGCCAGGTGTAGGGATGAACTTCTGATGGGCCTTCTGCCCAGGAGACGGGCAGCTTCCTCACCCCAGCAGATGTCCAGAGCTGATTTAGCTGCTGAGCTCTCTGTGTTTTTTGCTTTAAAGAAAAATTGCCAGCACTCGAACCTCACCAACTTTCCCATTACCCACATCTGTAGTTGGTACACTTCGAATTTTATAACTATGCACCTCCTTTGGTTTCTTAACAAGCAAGTGAAAGAAAGAAGGAAAAAAGAAAAGAGTCCCTTTGGAAACGGCATACTATCAGGAGAGGATAAGTATGTGGTTTCTTTGGCACCTGCAAAGACCAGCATTTCATAAAATTCACGAGTGTGTGGAGGACTAACCTTACTGAGAGGAGGGAATCCCACCTGGGATTAGCTTTAGGATTGTTGATGGTCTATTTTGCCATTTATAAACTGAAAGAAGGCATTAAAGACGAGAATAATTTATACAATAAAAATATATTAAATGTATAGAAATGAATTTCTATAGGTTAAAAAGTTTTGTGAAATATTTTGTAAAGACTAATTAATTGAAAGACTAAATGTATGCACTATCAGCAGACGGTCAAACTCACGAACTGGAAGTTGCACTCTCCTTTTCATTTCCAATGATCCATTAAGAGCATCTGAGTTCCTTCCAAGTCTGACAAAGACTTCTCACTTACTTACCTCTCATGATCTCCCTTCCACATTAGTGATACACTCTCATGGAGCACATCTCTTAATGAGTTGCCCTCATGGATATTTGGTTAATGCATATTTAAGCTGATGGCTTTTTTGAGACAAACTCATGCAAATGATCTTAAAGGGAAGTTTTTGCTTTTCTCTAGTTAATTAACCCAGGCCTGCCATGCAAATAGTTGAATAACTTTGTTCCTAGTTACTTATATACAATTCTTAAGGACCATTTAGTATTTTGGCTAACCATGAGTAATTAGGATTATTATTTTTTTGTTTCACAGAGTAACTGAGAGTTTTGTAACAGCCAGAGGTGGTATTAGAGCCATGGGGAGATCTGTCCCAAGATGCACTATTTCTTTGAGGAAGAGAGAGAAGTATGTGGTTGGGGGGTGAGGAATGCAGACATTTTTTATTTCTGTGTACAGACAAAGAGATGGAATCACAAGGAAAGACAATTAACAACTTTGAGCTCAACCAATTGAACTGCCTTTCTTGGGGCTGCACCTGGACCAAGTTTATTTTTTAATAATTATAGTAATGATTATAATAAAGAAACTTCCCAAAGCCTATAAACTGAACCAGAAGAGTTAGTTTCCCACTTTAGAGCTGATGGTGACATCAGCATTGCTTTTGCCCCAGGTGTTTAGAGAGAGACTTTTCAGTGATCTCAATAACCACTCAACTCTGGGTTCTGTGCAAGCCCAGACTAAGCCCCATCGCCTTATTTCTGGGGTACATCCAGACCTGGCAGGGATTCTGCCACACTGTGCAGCAAACCAGCACATAGGCTGGGGTGGGAGAGTAAGAGATAGAGCCATCAGAGTGATGGGGCTTCTTCACAGTAAGAACATCAGAGCTCAGAATGAGAGTCTCTTTCCAAAAACAAGCATTGTTCATCTTACACCAAATACCATTATCTGCCTGGCTGCAGTCACCAAAACAAACACAAAAATGCAGAATTATGCATCTACCTAAAGTCTTGAGGCTGTTTGCCAATGGAAGGGCTAGCAATGTATTTTCCCTCTGATGAAAGTTAAAATTTCCAGAGACTTCCTTAGAGTGCTCAAAATGTTAAAGACGTGTCCATGCCTGCAATTTGCCAGTTTCAGGTCAAGGTCTACTTTCATCAATATTGCTCCCAGAAGTTTTCTGCCACCAGAATGCCATTCCTGATCCCAGCTCTATTTTTAGGCCACCATGATAACTTCTTTGGTTTCTCAACTGAGCATGCATCCATTTATTTAAAGGACTGTCATTAATGAGTAGATGTTTTCGCGGGTCGTGTGATGTGCTTTCCATTTAATAGTATTGCTGTGGCTGAGTACAATCAAATTGAACCACCAACCCTTGGTTTTGTAGTAATATAATTATTTATTTTCCTAGTGTAGATGCTTCCAGATTAGAGTTGGCATTTGCACTGATTTTTTTATGTAGATTTATATAAATATATACATACTTATATATTTGCTTGAAGAATCACCAAACAAATTGGTGAGAGGGTCTTTTCCTATAGAATTTACATCTCCATTTGTTGTGTTGTCTTGCGCTTCCCAATGTTGAGGTCTCTTTGGCTCCAATGAACTGGTGTATTTTACAGCAAATCTGATGACATGTATGGAAGTGGCATGAAAGTTACCCAGATTACATCTGGTGCAGATGCACTCGGAGCCTGGGGCCAGACTGGTGCTAACACTGCAAACTTTGTCCGGAGCTCTCTCCAATCTGAAGGCTTGCTGGGGGCGCAATGTCACTTTCTTTCACATGCTGGGCCCTTTCGGAAAAGTGCCAGATCGTGTCACTGGTGCTATTTTTCATGCTCTGGTACAATGTGTAGCACCACGGGGGTCTCAGCTTTACCAAAATCCAAATCCTTTTCGTCAGCTAATTGCAGGGGCATTTGTTTTTTGCTCTCCTCCCACAGGATTTCTTGGCCATTTATTTGCAGGCCTTTTCTCCCAGCCCCAAATTCCTGGGTTGGCCATGTGTGCTGAGGAGCCCATCTTTACGAAGCCACGCTCAGGTGCCTCTGTGAGCTGTCTTAGACCCCACTGCCAGCCCTTCAGGACTCCAGCCAGGGAAAGGCTCTCCACACCCCTGGCTCGCAGCTGGGTTTTTTTCTCATTACTTTCCTCTGCTCTCCTCCTCCTCCTCTTTCTATCTCATTCCATCTCATTTCTGTCCTTTTTTTTTTATCTTTCCTTCCTATCATCCCTGAGTTGTTGACTTTCTCCTATATTTCTTCTTTACTCCCTCCATTTATTCCCTTTCTCTCTGACTGCCTCTCCTTTAGTGTCCGTCTCTTTGCCCTTGGGATTCCCCTTTCCTCCTCCTTTCCTGTCCTGTTTCCTGTCCTCATCTCTGGTCATCTCCTCCCACACACCCCACTCCTCAATTTTCTGTCCTATAAAGGGCTCTTGGCTGATTCAGACAGCAAGTCCATACACTGGACTAATGACACAAATACTTTGGGTCACTGTTTCACCGACTCAGCCCAGAAAGCAAAGCTGAGCGTGAGGCCCTGACCTGGCGCTAGCTCCAGCTCGCCCCTGCAGCAGCCTGCACCGCTGCGCTGGCAGCAATGAGGCATGTGCTGTGGCCCTGCCAGCACCTGTGGGCCCCCGCCTGACGCTGCGCCTAGTGAGCCCACTCCCAGCACCACCCTGAGGCTCTGAGGACACTTCTCTCAATAAAGGCAGATTATGGCCCCAATGATTATTCTGACAGCAAACCTCTTCCTTCTCATTGAAGCCATGCTATCGCCTTGGTTTGGAGAGAGACTTTTTTTTCCTCTTTCATAAGCTTTCTTTTTCCCATTTTCATGTGAAGCCCCCTCTGCTTTTCAGCTGGTGATTGCTCTGGTGAGATTGAATGGACTCGCTGGTGAAATGACATCTCTTTCTGCCTGTCTTGGTCCTGCCTAAATTCCTACAAAAATATTTAAGCCAAGGATTCAGGCTAGTTCTTAAGTTTATCATATGAATTTGTCATTCCTGGGGGCGGGGGAAGGATCAATTCCCTTAAAGCTTGTGGAGCACTTCCTGTGAAAACTGACTTGCCAGGGGACTCCCTACAGAATTCTGTGGACATACATTTTACTTACATGTATATATGGTATATATGATATGCATATCATGTATACACACATTACATTGGGTATGAACGAATGAGGTTGGAAACCCACACACACACACTCCAGTCTGTAAATATACCTTCCTCACTGAAACCTGTGCTTCAGAAATCATTTCTTGTACAGCTGTGCAGTTTCTTGTAACAGCTGAGAACAAGCTAAGACAGGTGGACAGTTTAGACAAAGGTCATCTAAAAGAGTGCAATATCTCCCTAGCAACTCATGAGGACAGACCACCAAGTGGCAAGGTTGACTCCCAATGGGATGGCAAACTTTTCTTCTCTCCTTTTTGAATCTGTGTTTCCTAAGTGTGTCTTAACTTCTGAGTGCACCAGGCTGTACCCGTCAGATCCTTTCAATATGGCAATTTTGTGCTTCTCTCTGACAGGATGTTTCTCCATCGAACTATAGTGCCGGATGGGAGGGAGGGGTATTACTCCTTGCCTGGGCTGGAGTTTACAGCGACACTGCACAGCTTACACTCCTGTTAAGTGTAAATATTCAACACTTCCATTCCATTTGTGTAAAAAATAAAGCACACACGATTATAAAATCAAGATGTATATTTCATACTCAGTGTGTCCGTGCATATTTATTGCGTTTCCAGATGTCAGTGGTGGCCCCATTGTAAAAATACTTGATAGAGTGTTTATAAACATGTCATGCTTTTATTATAAGATATAAATATTAAAACATTTTATACTTTATAGCAAATGACTTTCTCCCAAAGCATAATTTGTCTTCTTTTATAAAGAATAGAGTCACTCATTTCTATTTTTATCGAATTTGTCTGATTGCAGATCTAAAGTGCAGTTAGGGTAGATTTGCTCCGAGACACACTGGCACTACTGAGAGGAACTGAAAGTGGTGCTTTTGCATATTTTTAAATTATTTGTTTATTACCTTGCCTGCTTTTAATCAGGATTTTGCCAAAAGCGAACAACATATTACAAGATAGGTTTCTTAAAGATGCTCAAATCTATGTGGGAGGAAAAAAAATCAATTTGCCAGTGTCAAAATTGTGAGATTCCAGAAGATAATAAAGAAAAAAACAGATTTTGCCAAAAGCGAACAACATATTACAAGATAGGTTTCTTAAAGATGCTCAAATCTATGTGGGAGGAAAAAAAAATCAATTTGCCAGTGTCAAAATTGTGAGATTCCAGAAGATAATAAAGAAAAAAACATTTCTTTCTTATCTGAAATGTATGATGCAAAGAAAGGCACAAATTGCGAGGAGGTATTGTCTGTATACATTGGGGCCACAAACCATACCAGCTCCAAAGATCTGAACATATCAAAAAATGTCAGGTTTGGTAATCTGCATCTACCAGATAATGTTCTAAGTTCTTCACTTCAGGTTAAACTTATGCCTTGTCATACTCACATTTAGACAGCACATGTCTGACAGCTGGAGGCCAAAACCAAATTCCTCCCATTAAAGGGGTGAAATGTGCCATCAAAGCAACCTCTTTGAAGTATGCTTTGCTTCATTATAAGCCACAATATGATTGGATCAACCATTTGGGAAGTCAGACTAGCCGTCGTACCATCCAGGCCTTCACTGTGAGCCGACGGGAGTCTCTGCCAGGCATCCAGATGCTGTCCTTGGTGCTTGGTGCTGAACAAAGTCCGTCGAGGTGGTGTAAGAAGACAGTAACTGAGGCTGCAAGCCCAATGAAGGCCTCAAATTTAACAATTACTCAATTTTTAACATTTACAGAGTCTCACCTAGCTTAATACTAACGGTGACGCTACACAAAAGCGAGATTCACTTCAATAATGGTGTGTTTATTCAGAAGAAAAGGCTAGACAAGCATTTGACTTTGTGCCCTATTTCATTTTGGTGTAACTATTTTTAAACCACAATCATTCTAGAAGTCTCAAATGCTAGAAGTGACCTGTACATCTCTAAACTTAAGAGGGCCTAGCTATAAATCTATGATCTCTGTAGATACTCTGAGACCAAACATCCAGTTACAGAATTAAAAGCGTCACCAAGGCACAAAGCTAAGGAACATGTGTAGAGGGAGCCACGAGCTTTCTTAACACAGACAGATCCAGAGTCTTTAAAGACTGTCAGGGGAGGATGTCTCCTATAGATCAGGATTGCTGGGCTTCATAACTCCAGTTTTTCTCCTCTGCGACTCACCTTTCCCTTAGGGACATCTCAGAAGGCATCACTCCTATCATCAAACTGATCTCTTCCCCTTTCTAATATTACAGCCAAAGTGTCACATCCAGACCTTGTCCCTAATTCCCCTTAGCGCAGCTGGGACAAAGCTTGTGCAAACTTTGCTAAAGGCTGGGGACAACAAAAGGGACATACAAGGGGTTCTGATTTATGGTATGGATTTAGTGCCCAGTTCCTGGCCTGCTGCCATGTGACAGAGGCCATCTCTCCCCCACCACCCAGATGTCCCTCTAACTCGGCCAGACCAT